AAATAGTCCAAAATCGAAAAATCGGTTTTGGATACCAAAATCGACTTTTTAGGCTGCCGTGGTGTACCTTAAGCTTATCACAGTTTCTAGAGAGTTGTGATTTATTGGAAGTAATCTGATTCATAACCCAAAGGTGGGCCCATGCCAAGATTTATTGGTTCACATAGATCTACTCTTTAAAAATTACTTACCAGTCCATTGGTGCGATAAATCCAGAGCACAAATTATTATGTCGACTGTCCCACTGAAAACGTTGATAATTTGGCGTCAAAACAGGCAGGATGAGACGATTCCACAGTCTGAATTGTACTGATGGGTGTATATATCCAATCGGTCTGGTCAAGTCAAAGCTCCCAATTCATTCGCAAAACCCTGCGAACTAGAAGATCCGTCAGTTGCTATTTGTAAACCTTGGCCTTAAGGTTATCAACTTGTTCTCAGAGAACTATGATATAATCCGCGCGAATCCCTAAACACACATAAGCCAGGCCTATACTATTCACACAACTGTTCGTAAAAGCTCAAAGATAAGCAATACCAGCGGAGCAATGATTCGTCTTGCACAGCGGATCCAACCAAGCCAAAAACTTACAGGGTACGATTGCCTGCCTCTCCCACAACAATTGCGCCGTTATATCGTCGTAGAGAAGAAAAAAAGAATTGCAGTAGATACTAAATTACAATTCTGACAATCCGTGAGAATTTACACGCATCTGCTGCTGTTCGTATCGCCGAATGTTGAACCACACTTGATCAGAAGACGGAGAGAGAAAGAGAGAGGTAGAGAGAGAGAGAGAGCGCTGAGCTGAGATCGGGAGTTGTTCGTCAATAATAACGAGAGAGGTTTATGTCCGACACTTTTACAACCGTGCTCTCCACACAACACGTAAATCATCGGCATCAAATCGGAAGATTTGCAGTTCGCAGCAGCACACGCGGGCCCCTACTACTGTAACGCAATGTTTCCCTTCTCGTCTGCTGCTACTGTGGTGAGACTCCGTGCTGTGTCCGCTCTGGTTCCGCTCGTGGTCCCCTGAGCGAAACGACTGAGTTTCGTCTGCTTCGAGAGCGCCTGTCCGTAGCTGTTAGTTCCAATGTGCGCCCTGACTCGCTCCTCGCCGTTTAGTCCGCGCAGTTTTTCCCCCTCGCCAAACTGCCTCGGTCGGGGGAAACTGCCAATCAGCGCGCGGGACCGCTTGCTAATTACATCGAATCACACGCAGCGGGATGCCGTGATCTGACACTTGGCCCCGCCCCTCTCGTTAACGCGTTTGTTGTCGTTTCCTTTCGCTTTTCACGGGCGAAATCTGAAAGACAGAAAAAAGGCACAGAGGTATTAGGGGGACAGAGTCACATAAAGTTTTCTTTCTCATGTCTCAACTCAAAGGAGTGTCTCCCTCACACAAAAACTTTCTCTCTTTCCCCCCGTCTTTTCACAGTGAAACATCTTTATACGATCTATTCCACCTTGTCTGTCATTCTTTTTCACTAAACTAAATTTAAAAAAAAAGAATAAAAGTTCTTTTCTTGTCTCTCTTTGCTAATCTTTTAGAATCGAGCCCTTGTTCTTTTTCAGTTCTTCTTCCCCGGACAAACCTCTTTGTCAAGCTGACAAAACTCGGAGTCTCTCGTTTTCTTGGCACTGGGGCCTGAGGCCTTATACTTATAATGCCGCGCTCATGTCATATAATATACCGCAAAAGTACTTCATGAACGGCTGAATACTTTGCCTGAGGGTGTATGAACGAAATCTTTAAAAAGTTTTGGAAAATTTATTAGAAGACGATGGAAATTGTGTGGCTCCGCCGACCCAGAAATGTGAATGACATAGGAGGGAGAGTGTAACGTAGCTCAGAAAGACATCTAAAAGATGTAGTGACACACACACACACAGACACACACACAGACACACACACACACACACACACACACACACACACACACACACACACACACAGAGATACTGACTAATACATGCGTTTTTGCTTCTGTTAGGCTATTTTTTTGGAGCGCATTATTTTGAACTGTTTGGACTTTAAAAAAGCCTTTGACAGCAAAGACTTGGAGGCTTTGTGGAAAATTCTTGCAATTTATGGCATCCCAACAAAAATAATGAAATGTATAAGATCATTATGATATAACAAAGCATGTTGCTGTGACTTATTTGAAGGAGAACACCATTTGAAGTGAAAACTGGAGTTAGACAAGGCTGTTTATTATCACCTGTGCTTTTTGGAATTGTGATCGATTTTGTAATGAGACAGAGCAAAGACTTTGAAACAGGCATTGGATGGACAAATGGCACATATTTAGGGGACTAACTTAGATTTTGTAAATGACATCTGCCTGTAAAACGGCACAGTACATGAAAGAAAGAGAGACGGGAAAGGAAGGGGAGAAAGAGGTAGATACAAAGATAGGCCAGAAGAAAAGAGACAAAAAGACAGGAGGGAGAGAGAGAGAGAGAGAGGGAGAGATAGAGAGGGAGGGAGAGAAAGAGAGAGAGAGAGGGAGAGAGAAAGAGAGCGAAAGAAAGAGAGAGAGAAAAAAGAGAGAGAAAAAGAGAGAGAGAAATAGAGAGAGAGAGAGAGAGAGAGAGAGAG